GAAATTAAAAATTTGTCTGATTTTTACAGGCAGGCACTCTTAGACCCTGTCAGGTGTATCAATGATCACGTACAAGGGTTAACTTACCACTATTTTGCTTCTTCCCAGAACTATAGCTTCTTTTCCAACAATCTCTATACCTGTTGGACAAGTTTGAATCAGAATACTACACATTTAAAATCACCCTGACCTGGCTAAATACTAGATTTGATAACAATGCACTCTAATTCTGAATAATGTAATCTGTAGAGCCTCTGATGGTTCTAAAGCTGTTAATAGTTTCAGAGGACAAACTGCTGTGCCTGTGACAATACCATCACTACTTGGCACTGTGTTACATGTAATGAAACCTACATAAACATGTAGCGATGATATGACAACAGATGAACAAAGTCGTGCATGTTCACTTAAAATGGAATATCATATATTTGCACTACAAGAGTTATAAGCCCCCAGCATATAAGCCCAACTATTTGCTAACAAAGATATTATTCCAGATACGAGCCCCATCATCCCCCGGATATACAGTCCACCCCACCAGATATTATCTCATCTAGTGTATCAGTGTGTTCCTTTTGCGTTTCATTACAAACATCAAAATTTTTATTTGAAAGTAGGCATAAATAAGTGGTTGTGGACTTTAGAACAATAATTATAACGATACCAAAGAAAGAAACAAATCTTCATGCAATCCACTGTCCATTTACAACACAACTGTTCAACAACAATGTTTTGGAGCACGGTAACAGAGCAAACAGCTTGCTACAATCCAGTAGTTTTCCATGCACGCAGATTTTTTGTGGCCTCCCTACAATGAACTCTGAGCTTTCCGTATTCCTTTCCTCACTTGCGCTTTGTGTTTCTTGCTCCCATAAAGTAATACACACATGGTAATTCAATTCCACCTCCNCCAGAACTATGGCTTCTTTTCCAACAATCTCCATACCTGTTGGACAAGTTTGAATCAGAATACTACACATTTAAAAGCACCCTGACCTGCCTAAATACTAGATTTGATAACCAATGCACTCTAATTCTGAATGTAATCTGTAGAGCCTCTGATGGTTCTAAAGCTGTTAATTGTTTCAGAGGACAAATTGCTGTGCCTGTGACAATAGCATGTACTTGGCACTGTTACATGTAATGAAACCTACATGAACAAGCAGCGATGATAAGACAACAGAGGTACATTCATGTTCACTTACAAGGGAATATCATATACTTGCACTACAAGAGAGATACTGTAAAAAACCATTTTACAGCCCCCCCAGTTATAAGCCCCCCGGATATAAGCCCAACTATTTGCTAACAAAGATATTGCTCTGGATATAAGCTCCCCCAGATATAAGCCCATCTAATGTATAAGTGCATTCCTTTAGCGTTTCTTTACAAAAGATCAAAATTTTAATGCGAAAGTTGTAGGCATAAACAAGTGGTTGTGGAGTTAAGAATAATAATTATAACGATACCAAAGAAAGAAACAAATCTTCATGCAATCCACTGTCCATTTACAACACAACTGTTCAACAACAATGTTTTGGAGTACAGTAACAGAGCAAACAGCTTGCTACAATCCAGCAGTTTTCCATGCACACAGATTTTTTGTGGCCTCCCTACAAAGAACTCTAAGCTTTCCATATTCCTTTCCTCACTTGGGCTTTGTGTTTCTTGCTCCCGTAAATGTCATACACACATGGTAATTCAATTCCACCTCCAATAACCCAACTGCCCTGTAGTGCCTTCCTTGCTTCCCCAGTAATTTCACCCATCATGCTTGTCAGTATCCCGTCTTTTAAGAATGAGTTTTCATAGCTCCAAAGGAAACTCAAGTTTTTTCAATTTATAACGTAGTCACAAAAGAACAGAGTTAAATACGATAAAACCTTATTAAACAAGCTTATTCGGCCCATTGTACTGGAGAATTTATGAACCTCTCTTTACGATCTCTAGCAATTTCTTTTTTCACATAAGAAACTAAAAAGTAAACTCAAAGCAAAGAGCAACTTTCTTGAACTCACACTTTGTTTATTTACATTTTCAAAGAAAATGATGATTTTACAATTACTTCATATCAAGCTATTTACTGCTGTTAATCATTGCAAACAGCTCTTTCTACAAAACGTTTCATCATTAAAGCAGTTAACTTTAAAGTTCCAATAAACTAAAGCTAAAAATAAACACTTTAAAAACATATATTTTAACCTACAGANTGTAGGGAGAAGAAGGTTAACGTAACTGCTTTGAAGTGTATCTTCTCTATCTGAACACAACAAAGAGATACAGTCTGGGTTGTGGTTCGACCTGGGCTCGTGTTAACAGGAAGCTGAAACGTAATCATGTATCAAATGACCACATAACTTATCATGTATTTCGTTTTCTTGACAACAAATCAAACTCAAGTTTTTTCAAGTTCATAACGCAGTCACAAAAGAACAGAGTTAAATACGATAAAACCTTATTAAACAAGCTTATTCGGCGCATTGTACTGGAGAATTTATGAACCTCTCTTTACGATCTCTAGCAATTTCTTTTTTCGGATAAGAAACTAAAAAGTAAACTCAAAGCAAAGAGCAACTTTCTTGAACTCACACTTTGTTTATTTACATTATCAAAGAAAATGACGATTTTACAATTATTTCATATCAAGCTATTGACTGCTCTTAATCATTGCAAACAGCTCTTTCTACTAAACGTTTCATCATTAAAGCAGTTAACTTTAAAGT